TTTGTTAATTTTTGACGGTTTCTAATTGGGGTTTTTTTTGATTTTTTTTTTATTTTTTTTGAAAATTTTTTTGGTTACTTTCTTTTTTTGGTCTTTTAAAAAGAAAAAATAAGTTCTTGTTTATTTAGCAGTTTAGCCTGCGTAGCAAGGGTTTCCTCGCGATTTCGTCGAAATTTTTGGGAAAAGATATCCCCCTTTTCCCCTTTTTTTTTTTACTCCCGCTCTAACTTTCGCGCAATAACTCGATTGGAAACGCTTGCTACGCAGGCTATTAGCAGTTAGATTCCATTTTACCTGCATGAGTGCGCGAGAAACGAGGATAGCGTGGAAAGATGGTGGGGCGCGAAAGCGGAGGCTCTCGCGCGCTGCTTGTGTTCCGCGTGGCTGATTCCCCATTTCTAGTGTCTGTTGTGCAGGCTAGATATGGTTTATATTACCAAAATAATTATTATCAAAGCTTACTATGGATTTTAAATGTTGAATTTTAATTTATTATTTTGAAAGAGGGAGGCGCGGGAAAAACTGATTTGTACATAATCTGACAGGGTGTTTATTCACTGTTGTCTATTTTTTGGAGCCTCGGCAAGGGAAGAGCTAAAGATTTATTGTAAATTATAAATGCTGAATAAATAAAAGGAAAGAAAACGAAGTAAAAGCAGCAATCGTGATTTATAGTTCCTTAACAGCTACCACGACGTTTGGAGCGATACGAATCAGAACCGGATGAGATAAGCTACAGTAAGTCGTGCAACGAAGAAACTGAAGTGCAACTTGTTTTGCAACATCGCTGCAAAAAGAGTTGAATAGCGATATTGCGCGTATTGCCACCCACGTTCGAACCTGTATTTCCACGAGTAAGGTTACAAGGGTTGTTTTCGTGGGTCGGGGTGGTAAAACGCGCAACATCGCTATTCAACTTGTTTTGCAGCGAAGTTGCAAAACAATGTGCCAATTTTTTGTTGCCCGTGATACCGTACCTTTACTGACAACTGCTATTACATATCTCCTCACTCTGGGGGCGGGGTGTATTTAAGATAGTTTTATACGGGTAGGCTCCACCCCGCGGTCTAGCCCGTTATTCTAACCATTCATGATAAAAAAGGCACCCCTTTCGCTTACCTTCCATTGAAAAATTGTACCCCTTTCGCATACCTACCTTGGAACACTGCATCTCTTTTCTCGTCATCAAACCTGGCTGAAAAAAAACCCTTTATAGTTTAGACGTGGATGTAAAATATATGGAAAATGTAATCCTCATTCATGATTCAGAAGCCTGTTTGAAGCCTTTGTTCAGATAGTTGAATTCACGGTGCGAGAAAGAGAACAGAACAGAGAAAACTTAGATAACATAAACAGGATAAACCTTAAGGAAGCTTCTAAGACAGACTACATGTACTTTTTTTCGCCGCTTTTTCTTCCGCGCCTTTCCGCAGTATTTGATAGTATTTTAATTGCAAATAAACTTTGATTCAGAGGCAGTTAGACGTCCCTTACAAAAATTAGTAACATTTTACAATCGAGATCACTAACTTAAAGAACCTGATCAAGAAGTAATACTAAACAACATGGAATCATCTCTCCTCGCACGATAAAACCCCCTTAAAATTCGAATAAAATTCGTACCTTTAGAACACAAATGGCATCACGTCAGATGCCATAATATTTTCTCATCCTTGTATTGTGCAATTTATACAGACTTTGTGCATTCTTGCTCGTCCTTTAGTGAGACGGTAATTTGGCTGTTTTGCCTTTGCTAATCCTTCGAAATCTTCAACCAGTTTTGCGCTCACATGACACAAGGAACATGCACTGGCGTGCAATAACTTCCCCTATTATTGGACAATTGACATATGAAGAATTAGCCAAAGATTTTAAGCAAATCAAAGGCGGCTAAACAATTTGAATGCCAAAATGATCATACATTCTAAATTTAAAAAAGGATCCATCAACAACTATTACTCCTCAAACAAGAGGAAACGGGGGAAATAAGGGAGGAGGGTGAAACGGCAGAAAAAACAAGGGACGCAGGGAAATTCAACTGCTTGTTCCTCTCCCATGTCCCCTCTTTACATTGATAGATCTCCTGCGGGTCGGTGAAAGTACATGCATCGCATCACACCTCCCGTCAAGAATTTGAGGTCATATCGGTAATCGAACTCGGGATTTCTCGAAAAGACGGCCGGCTACTAAGCAATTGCTCAAAATCCTTGCTTCTTGATTGTTCCAGAAAATAGGAAAAAAAGTTTTTAAATCTACTGAAGGAAGATGGAAGGAAGCGGGAGAAGAAGAAGAAGATTTCCTTTTTCTTGTGTGTCTCTTACTTCGTTTTGACTTTGGCTGAGGTAGTCGCGCTTCATACTCGCGCGAATACTCGTGAAAACTTCTGCGAAAAACGCGCGGGACAGAGAAGGCGGTGGTCTCTCCTTCTTTTCCTGCCACTGCTCCTTCCACAGATCACACAAGTCTTAGCTTACCTTCACCTTGTTTTCGCAGCGTCCCCACTATCTGTGAGCCTGAAACAGACAACTGGTACACAGGCAAGATTAACCCNAGATAACATAAACAGGATAAAGGGCTATTTGGAAAGTCTAAGAAAAAACCTTATGGAAGCTTGGAAGAGAGATTACATGTACTTTTTTTCGCCGCTTTTTCTTCCGCGCCTTTCCGCAGTATTTGATAGTATTTTAATTGCAAATAAACTTTGATTCAGAGGCAGTTAGACGTCCCTTACAAAAATTAGTAACATTTTACAATCGAGATCACTAACTTAAAGAACCTGATCAAGAAGTAATACTAAACAACATGGAATCATCTCTCCTCGCACGATAAAAACCCCCTTAAAATTCGAATAAAATTCGTACCTTTAGAACACAAATGGCATCTCGTCAGATGCCATAATATTTTCTCATCCTTGTATTGTGCAATTTATACAGACTTTGTGCATTCTTGCTCGTCCTTTAGTGAGACGGTAATTTGGCTGTTTTGCCTTTGCTAATCCTTCGGAATCTTCAACCAGTTTTGCGCTCACATGACACAAGGAACATGCACTGGCGTGCAATAACTTCCCCTATTATTGGACAATTGACATATGAAGAATTAGCCAAAGGTTTTAAGCAAATCAAAGGCGGCTAAACAATTTGAATGCCAAAATGATCATACATTCTAAATTTAAAAAAGGATCCATCAACAACTATTACTCCTCAAACAAGAGGAAACGGGGGAAATAAGGGAGGAGGGTGAAACGACAGAAAAAACAAGGGACGCAGGGAAATTCAACTGCTTGTTCCTCTCCCATGTCCCCTCTTTACATTGATAGA